CCCAGCATTTCTTTTTTTTTTTTTTTTTAAGAACTATTTATTTTATTTATTATTAGTATTATTTTTAAACTTGGTATAGTCATCAGAGAGAGACAGAGAGAGAGAGAAGGAAAGTGAGAAAGCAAGGTGCCAGGTCCAGGACTTGAACCAAGGTTGGCCATGTGGAAGTCCAGCACCTTAACCACCATGCCACCTGCTGGCCCTGAGAGTTAACAAAGTCCCACTAGCGCTGACACTGACACCCCTCTTCTTAGGACCACACTTTGGGAATCACTGTTATGGGACGAAAGTACCACAAGGACAGGGATCTGGGTCCTTTGGCTTGCTGCTGTCTCCTCAGCCTCTGTTTCTCCACAAAATACAAAAGAGGTAGGATTGGAGTCCTCTGGCTGCTGCTGAGCTGAAGCCCCACCCTCACTCCAGCCTAGTGTGTTGTAGAGAAGAAAGCACCTTCGATGAATGAATGAATGATTTCCTACCAGGGGTGAATGAATGAATGATTTCCTACCACTGCTGAGCAACCGTTCACCAGCCCCAGTCCCTCCCCATGTTGACACATCTCCCTAGGACCCTGGCTCCCTGCCTCTAATGTGGTAGATTTCCTCAGCCTTTGCAGGCTTCAGCCTGGAGTACTTTTCTGACCACCCAGCCCTCAGTACAGGGGCCAAACAGCCGGATTTTTCTGTCTCCCCACACATCACCCCAGGGGACTTCTGGGAACAAACAGAGGGCCATTTCTGGAGAGCCAGGCAGTAGGAGGTTGCACCTTGCCAGGGCCCTGCATACCTGATCTTTGCGGAGCTTAATGCGCTCCTGGAACACTGTCCACACAACCGTCTCGTCGCAGTTGGGCGTGGTGAGCGAGCCCATGTAGCGGAAGTAGTGCCTCAGGTTCTCTTCCTTGGGGAGCAGGTCCCACAGACTGCTCTCTCTCATTGTGGTCTCCATCTCTGGAGTGGGGGACAAAGTAAAGAGCCCTTCACACACATCACTCTGTGTCCAGCTGCCCCACCACCCCAGCCCCTTCCTGTGTGGGGAGAACCTCCCTGCTCCCCAGTCCCAGCTCACCAGGAGTGGGGACGGCAGACAGTGCCTCCACCAGGGGCTGGAAGCCATTATTCACCTGGGATCCTTCCTGAAATGGGAGGGGAGGGGGCTGGAGCATGCACCAGGGGCCCAGAGGGGAGCCAGTGGTGGCTGGTGACACTAGTTCATTCCTCCCAATCTGGGGAGGGGAGTAACTACTTGCCAGCCCCAGTCCCTCTGGGGTTAAGGCTCTGAGATTTCCACCTGGTTGTGGGCATACAAGACACCAAGAAACAGGGAATCGAATCAGGGCCTCCTGGCCTCTCCCTGCCTTGCCAGGACACAAGAACCCTGGTCTCTGGACCTTAAGGAGCAGTTCCTTCAGGGCCAGCAGGTGGCGTTGTGGTTAAGGGTGCTGGACTCCCACATGGCTGACCATGGTTTGTGGTCCGGATCTGGCAGTTTGCTTTCTCGCTTTCCCTCTCTCTCTCTCAATCTGTCTCATCTAAATGATAAATACATACATACATACATAAGTTAAATGAAATAGTTTAAAAAAAAAAAAAAGGCAGTTCCTTGGACTCTGGCTCCCTAGGAACTGGGAGGACTGGATCCTACCTCCACCAGAAAAGCCAGTACAGCGATCTCGTCTCCAGAGTTCTGCTCCTCCTTCCGCGTCTCCTTGTCTTTCTGATGTACTATGTGCATCTGATGGACAGTGGGAGGGGTGGAGAGAGGACCTGTGAGGGGCCTGGACCACTCTTCTAGGCCAAGGCAGATACACCCAGAGCCTAGCTCAGGCACTGGCCCATTAGGAAGGGGACCCTCACCTCCATGGCGAAGCGTTCACCATTGAGGCTGTGCTCTGAGCCCGCATCCAGCACCATGGACCAGTGTAGATGCAGCTGCGTGGCCTGGTAGCGGGCAGGCAGTCCTCCTCCAGAGAGTGTAACCGTGTTCCCCAGCATCACCATCACTGAGGTCACAGAACAGAGTCTTCTCTCTGGCCTGGCAGAACTCGGATCCCCCCAGTCCCTGATCCCAACCCCACGTAGACAGGACCTTCTCTCCCACCCTCCCACCCTTCCACGGCTC